TGATGTTGGCCGTGTCTGTGACTGGAGATGACCTTGCTGCCCAGATCCCACCTTGGCATCACCTCCTGCGGGCAGCAGAAAGGGAGAGGTGCTGTGCTGGGTCTCAGCCACTGCCCCCACCCCCAGGAGCTGGATGAGACCCTTTGGGAGCTGTTTTGAGACATGCCCACATGTACACAACAACCTGCTGGTGTCTGCCCTGGATTGGTCTTCTCCTAAAACAAGTCCCACCATGGTGAGCCTGCCCCAGCACAGCCGACTGCCAGCAGCCCAGGCTGTAAACACAAGAGCTTGGCCCCAAATTGATGGAGATGACAGGGAGATAAAGTCCTAGAGGTGCTGGGAGGTGACCCTACTGTCCCCAGGAATCAGAGGGAAGGGCCCCTTCCAGGCAGCTGTGTGGCCAGGAGCTGTCCCCAGGGCGAGGGACAGGGTCAGCGTGCCCTGCTGTCCCCCCTGCCAGCTCCCCTCCACAGTGAAATTGGTGGCAGACAGACGTGAAACCACAGCTCTGAAAAACCCAGTGAACAAAGCCCCAAAATGCCAATGGGCTGGCTGGAAGTGTTGTTTGGGAGGCTTGGGGCTGCAGCTTTGACCTCCCCACTCCCGGCTGGGATGACTCAGATGTTTGTGTGACTCAGAAGCTTCCCCCAAAAGGGGTCTGGAGAGGTTCGTCTCATCTTACAATGAAGCATCACTCGCTGCGGGGGCTGGCAGCGGGAGGCTCTGCAGCATTCCTGCTCTGCTTCATCCCCAGTTTCTGCCCTCCCAGAGCAAACCCCGAAGCAGCAGGATGCTGACACATGGGTGAGTCCACGCAGAGCCCAGGGGACTTGGACTGCCCAGCCTCTGGCGCTGGCAGTCCCATGCTCGCTGGCTGGGGTGACCCCACTGGTACCCTCCACCAGTGGCTGGTGTAGAGGGGCTGCTGGCAAAACACAAGCCTTATCCTCCCTCTGCTCAAAGGACACCCTTTAGTGTCCCCATGTGCTGCTCCAGGGGAGCTGGGGGTCTGGTTACCCACAAGGACATGGCCAAGGCACAAGCTGGGAGCATTCATGGAGGAGGTGGCTCATGTGCTGGAGGAGCCGATGACTGTTCTGCAGAGCATCAGGGGTGCTGGCAGCAGAGGTGGGTGAATGTAAGGATATGCCACTTCCAGGCGTTGAACAGGTCACCAGGACATGCAGGGACAATGGGAAAACTCCTGAGCCAGAGCACCAGCCCAAGGCTGAGAGTGGCAGGACGTCCTCAAAGGGCCAGAGTCAGCACCCTGCAGCCATGGGGCAGCGGATGCCCCAGGCGGGCGCTGGGGGTCCCTCAGCAGGGATCCCATGTGCCCCTTTCCGCAGGTCTCTGGCCACCCAGCCTGGACACCTGAGGGCTCTGGAAAAGGCTGAAGGGAGAAAACTGTCCTGGCAGCCTCAGGCAGCCTTCCTGCCCCTGAGCAGGGAAGGGGAGGGATGGCGGGATGGAGAGCTTCATTCAGAGCTGGTGGCTGATGGGTGAGAAAACATATGCTACAGTCCACAGTGCCAAGACTGCAGCTGGCACATTGGAAGCATCTCCATCCAAGCGTGTCCATGTCCAAGCAAGGCCACTGTCCTGCCACCGCACCAGAGGTGACTCAGGCTGGAGGGACCTTGGCTGCTCAGAAGGAAGGTGCTTGCTTCTGACGCTGCCTTTGGGCATGGGGGATGGTTTCTAAACATCTACCCATGACATAGAGGCAGAAAAACCCGTTATCATGGGTGCCATTTCCTAGCGCCAAAGCCCTGCACTGACATGGGATTCAATACTGGAGCTCATCCTGATGGCCCAGGACAAGTGAATTATGGCCCAAAGACAGGGAGGTTGGCCCAGGGCACATAAAACCAGGGTCCATGTCTCCAACTGACTGTATCAAAACCCACAAAGTGGATATTTGGTCCCTCCCTGTACCAGTTTTCCAGCACTAGAAGCCCTGTAAGCAATTGCCAGTGCACCAGGCCAGGTACATTTAAAGATGCCAGTTTAGCAAAACACAGTTTATCCTCTGCCCTCACCACTTGGCCCCAAACTGTTGCACCAGAAATATGACAAAAATGACCTGGGGGTAAAAGCAAAGAGGAAATTCCAATTTTAGCTGAAGAGGGAATTAAGAAAAACACATTAACACCTCAAGAGAGTGCAGGGCTGGAAAACCAGGACATGAAACACAACTCCTTCAGGTTATATGCAAAGAATGTAGGCAACTGAGGAGGGAAACAGAAAGAATCGATGGAAAAATGATGGCCACCAAGGGTGAGATCAGCAGAAGGCATTCTAATCCCATTAGGAGAAATAATCCCCATGGCTGGAGGTGTCAATGCGCGTTCAGGAAGGTGTGCCGGGCTCTGGGACCCTCCAGCCAAGTGGGAAAATCCCTCTTTTTCTTCTGCCCATCTCTGGAAGAAGCAGCCATCTCCAGGGCAAACCAAGAAAGATGGAGAGGGAGGTTATGTAGGTAGTGGGGTGGGAAGGTTTTGCTCAAACAGACCATTTTTGGGTGGTGAGCTCCAGTGCCTTGCACCCACCAGCCTGGGAGGATGAATGGCCACCAGTCCCCGGGGAAGCCAGGCAGTGCCACGGCATGGCTGGGCTGCAGGGGGTCCAGGGGCAAGGGGATTATTGGGGACAGATGTGACCATCCCTGGCTGTGACTCTGTGGGAAGCACAGAACCTGCCAGCCCTCCACCATGGGCTGGGCAGGAGAGGAGAGGAGAGGAGAGGAGAGGAGAGGAGAGGAGAGGCAGCAATGCAGTGATTCCCCAGGGAAATCCCCCCAAACCCAGCATCCCCACATAGCCAAAGACTCGGCAGCAGGAGATGTGGTCCCTGAGTCCTCCGTGTGTAGGGGCTGCACTGTGCCGGGCATGGACATCTCTGGTTGGGGCATCATCAGTGAGGCTTTGCTTTGCAACCTCCGAAACCAGACTGAGAGGAGAGAAAAAGTGGATTTAAGGCCAATCTGCAGCAGCTAGTGTCAAAATACTAACCACTGCACTGCAGCACATCCGTCACTCCGCAAGCAGAGCAGTGGCTGGGGCAGGGGGGTTTTGCTGGTCCATGAACACAGTCCAGCAGACACTGCTGTGGTGATGATGGTGATGCTCAGTGATGGAGGAAGCTTTCTCTCCAAGTTCCGCCAATTCATGCACAGAGAAGGAGGGAAAATAAGCCCCCAAACCCCCTGGGAAACACAAATCCTCATAGCTGCTTCTGGTCAGAGCTGGACTCACACCTCAGTGTGTCCTGATGGGAAGGGGCCAGGCTCAGCATCCCTGCCCTGCCAAAACAGGTCCTTACCTTTAAGCACAGGCAGGGCTAGTGGTGCGTGCTGCCATGGTCACAGCCCTGCCATCACAGTGCTGCTAGCATCCGCCTCAACTTCATTCATCACCAGTGAAGGAGGTGCCACTATTTTATGCTTCCACTTGAAAGAAACTAGCCTTCCACGGCAGCAAACGAGGGGCGGTGTGTGGCCCTGGCAGGGCTGTGAGGGAGATGGGGACAGAGGGGTGGCCATATGGTGGGCACAGGAGTCCTCTGCCATCTTCTGATGGAAATCAGGACAAAATGGCACACTGTGACCATGGGAAGTGTCACCAGGCAGTCATGCCCATGGCCAGGACTCGCAGGGGCTGCTGGGGAGTGAAGATGGGCACAGTGTGGGGACAGTCAGCTTTTAGGGCCACTTGTATTAACAGCCAGGCAGGAGCTTATAGAAAGAGAAATGTTTAAAGTAGAAAATGATTTTTTTTTGCCAAAGGGCTGAGCCAGGGGGTGAGATGTCCCTGGGGGGAAGCAGCCCCTGGCATCGCATGGCCAGGAGCGCTTGGAGAGGGAAAGCAAGTCTCGCATTGCAGCGTAAACTGCCCTGGCAGGCATTTCGCTGGTCCCCCGTAAATGTCACACTTCAGCCAAGAGCCCCTCGGGCACTCTTAGCAGTAACATCAGGGCCTGGCCGTTAACCGGGATTAGAGGAGGAATTCTGCAAATGCTCTTCAGTTGCAGGGTGGAGTGGTTTAAGCCTGTCCCTGGACCGGGAAGCATCAGATGGCAGTGCCCGGAGCTGCAGGACCAACCTGGCTGGGCTCCTTGCCTTGCCTGGTCCCCCCACTGGCCCGTGCAGCCTCCTCTGGATGCTGGCTAGTCCCACTGCTGACCCTAGGTCCTGGTGGTGGTACCACACACTTCACTGTCACTCCCGTGCATGCCTCACAGAGCCCCAGGCATGGCGGGGTGGCTTGATGGACCCATCAAACAGCTTTGGCACCAATGGGAACCCCCACCCCAGACCAGTCCAGCTCTGCTGGGGCATCCCTGGCTCCAGTGTGGTGTGGTGCGAGTGCCAGCAGGCATTGTGGTGCACCCAGAGGTTTTCCTGTGACTGCCCAGCAGTGCTCAGTGCCCCCCCCCGAACCCTACGCCTGCACCCACCCCTCACCTCCGAGGAATGCCGGGAGAGATTTTGGGAGAGCTGGACCAGGGTGAGAGGGGACGCTGGGGATGGGTTGTGGCGTGACATGTGTCCCACAGGCAGGGGAGCACTCGGCACCGAAGATGCTCTCTCTCCCCGTGCTGCTGTTGGGGATGTGGGTCTTGGCTCCCCAATGCAAGTGACTCAGTAGAGCGGCACTGGGGCAAGGGTGCTGGGGACTGATGAGTGCCATGGGGTCAGCACTGCCTGAGTGACATTTTGGAGAGCTCTGCCACTCATGCCCAGCCTGGAGGAAGGCAGAAATAAAGCAAAGGGTCCATTCCCCGGCCACCTCTGATTTAATGATCTCATGGAGGCCATGTATTTTTGGGCTGTCATGAACCATCAGTGCAAATGTGACGGTCCCCTCCATGGCAGATCCCGAAATGAGAGCCCCCCCACTTCCAGCCTCACACTGCAAACCCACAGCCCAAAACCTGCTGAGGTTCAATGGGGAGTCTCCAGGTTCACCCCTGCAGTCTCCATCCCTCAGCTCAGCTCACAGATGCTCATCCCCAGCAGTGACAAGAACATCCTGAAACTGGGAGACAACGCGTCCAAAATGGGACCCTTCCCAAAACACCTTCCCGCAGCGGGTGCAGCAGTAGAAGTCGGTGAGCTCGGGTTTGTCCAGCACCCCAGGGGGGATGGCAGCAACCTGCAGGACTGTGCCCCCCGCCAGCACCATGGACGCCCCGCACTGGTCCAGTCCCTCAGGCCATTCACTGTGCAGGGTGTAACCGGGCTGGGCTGCATTGCAGGCTGGCATGGCAGCATCGCAGCTCTGGCTGGGCTTCTCCTTGCTCCTTGCCAGGCAGCCTGCAGGGAGAGGAGACAGCAGATAAACCATCAGGCACTGGTGTGATGAGCGGGGTTTGTGCTCAGCCACATGAATGACCCTTGTGAGGGGCCTGTCATCCCTGCAGGGAGTCCAGGCTCTGCCCTGCATCTCGGGGAGGAGCATCCCATGAATTTGGGAAAAGGTAGCCACCAGCATCCACCAATTGCCTGCTCTGAGCATGGCACCTGTCCAGCCTCCTGCTCCCCAGCAGCCACCCGGCACCTCCTCCACCATGTCCTGCTGCTGCCTAGGCAGCAGTGGTGTCTGCCATGGTCTTGGGAGCTATTCCAGTCTGGGTAACTGCACCAGTGCTGCTGCTGTACTGGGTGCAATGGTTTGCCTCCCTGTCGCAGGTTGAGCAAGGCTGCTCTCCAAGATGGGCTGTGCCCTCCCTGAGCCACATTACAGGGCAAGCAAACAGCAAGAGAAGCCCTTACTGCTGCTTTAATGAAAAAAACACCACTAATAGCTGTCTGCACTGCTTAGACACCCCCAACTCTCCTGGCCTGCCCGAGGATGCTGGGCATTGGGGTACGCGTGACATCCACCTCGCATCGCATTAACCCAGGCAAGGGGTACCATGGGGCGCAATGTGGGGCCATGTCCTGTGAGCTGTCCCCACATGCCCCGAGCCCTGGCCCCACCAGGCAGGCGGATCACTGCCATCGCAAACCAAGCTCCACAAACTCCACGGCATTTTTGGCAGCTCAGTGCAGGCTCTCGCTGCCCGTGGCCGGGGCACAGCAGGTTGCTGGATCCGGGCGGCGGAAGCCAAGGGCTGAGCTGTCTCCCATCCATCAGGATGCCTGGCATTCGGGGACACCGGCTGCAGTTATTGCTGTGGGATGACTCATTTTTGGCAGGGGGGGACTTGTCCTGCCTAGACATCAATTAAGACAACAAAAGGCATCCTGCATCACTCCAGCGGCACCTCTGGGGCATCCAGCCTGCCCCTTTCGAGGATCAGAGGGAGCCTGGTCAGGAGCCAGCTGTGACAGAGAGGCACACCAGCCGTCCCAGCTGGCTCTTCCCTGCATCCCAGTGCTGCGGATATGCTGGCAATTGTTGTGGGGGAAAGCAAGACTAAGGACAGCCCTGGGACAGCCACCCCATCTCGGCAGAGCTACCCCATGGCTGCCTGGCAGGGCCTGGACCTGCTGCCGCACGAGCAGAAAGAGCCGCAGCCTGGGAGAGGTGTGGGAGGCTCAGGTCACACCAGCCCCTGGTTCAGGGGGGCTCCCCAGAGCCCCCCAAGACCTTCCACAACTCCCCAGAGGAGATGACCAGCCCAAGGGGGTAGGGCACAGTCACCCCCCATTCCCAACAGACAAACAGACACACTCAGGGTCAAGGCTGTCACTGCAGATGTTCTCAGGGTGGTTTTGCAGACCAGCCCTGGACCACAGGACAGCAGCCTAGGAGCGGCACAGGTTTGGGGGCTGCTGCCACAACGTGAGGGGAAGCAGCCCCGAGCCCAGTCCCAGCCACCAGCCAAGAGCTGGGCTCACCATTGCTGTGCCCTGGGCAAGTGCCCTGCAGCTCCACTCATGGATATGCCTTTCCTTCATCATCTGCGTTTGCTTGGGACACAAACATCCATTCTCAGATTAAAAACAGTGACTTCAATTTCCCATTTTCTCCAGTTTTTGACATGTGGTGAAGCACCTGGGCTGCTCTCAGGAGATCTCTGAGCTGGCCAGAGCAGGGACATGGAGGAAGAGCCCCATTCCCGGGGGTTTCACTGGGTCAGAGCCTGTCAGCAGGTGGCAGATCCCCATGGCAGGAGGTAGAGGTTCTGTCCTTGCCCCATCCCTGCCTCCTTCTGCCCTGTGCTACAAGATGGCATGGGGCGGCCTCAGCCTGGGAATGCAGGGACTGGCTCGCCGAGAAGGCCAAGCTGCAGGATGTGCCTCCAAGCACACAAACCACAGACTCCCTGCAAAATCCTGGGCCACCACTTGTTTATCTTCAGTTTGTAACACATGGACACAAATCTGCCTTTATTCCCCTTTTCTATTCATCGTGTCTGCTCTCGAGCACCAGGCCTCTGCGTGTGCCTCCAGGACCCTGATGGGAGGAACCTGCATCTTGGCTGGGACTTTTAGATCCAACCGTAATTGAAATGATACTGCTAGCAGCCAGCGCCTATGCTGCATGAACACCTTTCCCCACCACGGAGGCCCCCAGAAATTTCACGGGCCCAAACTTGCAGCACCCCAGCCCTGCCAGCGCCAGGGCATGGATGCTTGATGCTCCTGCAGGAATCCCAGGCAATTTGCTCTCCCTTCTGACACACTCCATCAGCTGCCGTGCTGCTGGGGGGCAAAACCAACTGCAGATCCCCTCCTCTGCATGGGAGGGGGGGTGAAACCTCCAGCTCCCCCAAACACCTCAATGCCACCCCCCCGGGCTTGTGAGAAAAAGGCAGGCAGGGAGGAAAATTTCTTCCCTTAAAAGCCTGGGGATAGAAAGGCTGTGATGGTCACCCAGCAGTTTTGCCTTTCACTTGCACCAGCCCCCTCCTTATTGTGGCTCTTCAAAGGGTTGAAAATGCTACATCACTTCAAAGTGACCATTTTTGAATGGGAGCTTGTAAAACCCCTTCTCCCCCTCCCACCAAATTCTTTCCAGAGCTTTTGAAGATGCCTGCCCTCCCCTTGCTGCTGTGGTCAAAGGGCCACCGGGCGCCAGGCACGGGGTGCCAGCCGGGCATGCAGTGAAAACTGCACTGGGAAAAGGTCAGATCCCCCAGAAAAAAAGGGTTTTCCTGGGGAAAAGAAGGGATTTTTTGAAGAAGGGGTTTCTTTCACCCCCTTAAGATAGGCAGACCCCTCCCTGGCAGAGCTGCTGCTCCCATGGGGCTGCAGCTCGTCTCACCGGGATGCTGCGCACTGTGGAGTTACGCCGGAGACGGAGCAAAAGGCATGTGTGGGGTGCGTGGGGCCCAGGGGAGCTGAGTGTGTCCTTCCAGCATGCTGGGAGTTTTTCAGATCTACAGTTTCCAGAGCTCTGTGACTGTTTGCACCAAAGGCTGGATTCCCACCGCATCTCTGAGGAGGAGAAATGAAAGTGATTCCTTACCAAATCAATTCGAAACACCTCTTGGGAACTAATAATCCCATTATAAAACATCTTGAAAATAAAAAGCCTTTTGCCTCTCGCTCACCTCTCCCCCTCTTGCCTGGGTCACACTGGGGATGACAGAGCCCAATGGGAGGCTGAGCCCTCCTGCAGCCCCCCCAGCACCCTGGGGTTGAGCACCCACACATGTCAGTGCCGCAGAGCTCCACAGGCAGCAAGGGTTGTCCCCGTCCCCTGGTGCTGTCCCCAGCCCAGCAGCCCTGCTCAGCACAAGGCCGTCTCCTCCTGCCCTCCCCACAAGCTGCGACCATACCCTGCCCTTGCACGTGCTGCCCACTCACATCTCCAGCATCTGCCCACCCCTGCTTGTCCATGGGAATTAATACCCCATGGGAATAGCATAAACTGTCCCCTGTCCCACCTAGGACTTCCAGCAGGTGCTGCAATGTCCAGGGGAAAGGGGATACTGCAGGACTCCAATTCTGCTTATTTCTGCATCAAGTTACGTCCCTGGGCTGAGCAAGGCTACCCTCAGCAGTGGGATCCCACCTCTGCAGCCCAGGACATGATGCACTTGTCACCTCCGTAGCAGCCCCACTTTGTGCCCAAACCACTGCCACGTGCCCCAGAGCCAGGCTGGCCCCACGGTCTGCAAGGTGGGGTGCAGCAAGAGCCCCGCCAGCCTGGGAGGGATCGCCTTCCTTCAGCCCCCAGCCCCCAGCACCGTGACAGTGGGGAAGACCCACGCCAAAGCCACATCTCACGCCCTGGGGCACTGCAGGGTTCCTGGCGCCTGAAAACCAATACTACCTTCACCCCAGGGGACAAAGAGCCAGGGGTGTGTGCCCCAAGGGCACAGCAGCATCCAGGGATGGTCCCACATGAGCTCTGGATGAGAACTATTACAACAGGGGGGCTGTGGTGGGCAAAGTGACTTGTCCCAAAGACCCCAGGGATGGGACAGGAGCCATAGCTCCGCGTGCCCCACTGTGAGGTCCTGCTCATGGGTGGGGGGCACTGAGCCCAGCGGGAGGGACATGGGACAGGGCACGGGCTGCCTCCAGCAGGCAGGGGGATGTGCACCCTCCCCTGCCCACAGAGGGGCCCTTAGCGGTGTGGGGGTCATTGAAAGGCCACCGTGATGGTGACACCAGTGACCTATAGTCCCTACAGCCTATTCTGTCAGCTGCAATGCAGGAGTCCTGGGTCAGCATTACTGGGACAGCACTGGGACCCCCCCACTGCGGGACAGGGGGCACAGCAGGGCCTGGGAAGCCAGGACAGAGCAGGATCAGGGCAAACCTCCTTTGAACCTGTGCCCAATTCCCCTTCCCCAGACCACACAGCCCTGATTTGGCTGGAAACAACCCGTCCCCACGTGCGTGAGCCCTGGGCACCCTTGGGGCTTCACTGTCATGGCACTCTCCGGTAACCCAAACTCCCCAGGGGAGCTGGGTACTTCTGCACAAAAACCTGCCCCCCAGGCCCCGTTTCTAGCCCAGGTCCCTCTGTGTCACCCCAGCTAAGACCAAGGCCTTGGGGCGAGGAGCTGGGTACTTGTCCCAGCTGGCTCAGGCGGGGGACCTGGCGCTTGCCCTGCGGCTCTGGAGCAGGAACCGCAGCCTCCTGCCACCTCCCGAGAGGCACTTGGGTCTGGCAGCACTTGTGCAAGCTGAGAGCCCTTCTCCCAGCCTGGCAGCCGCACCCAGCTGTCATCGCAGCCACACACACGGGAGACTCGTCTGTAATTAGGCAATTAAGGCTGAGGTGTTTTGGAGAAAGCGCACATCGTAAAGGCTTTGCACAAGGCTGAAAGCAGACCTGGGAGCATTCTTGGAGTACAAAGGTGCATGGGAAACCTTGCTGCGGTGAGAGATTGAACCCGATAAGAGGAGTTATGAGCCTGAGAAACACACTGGATTGCAGGGCACTGAAGATGCCTGGTTATCTTTCCCTCCTCAATAAGGCAGATAAGCAAAGGACAAAGGACCCAGGATTGTGCAACCTGGGCTGCAGCAGCCGGGCCACGATCTTAAGATGTTCGCAGGGCGGAGGAGGGAGGATGAGCTTAAGGCAAGAGGCACCTTCAGTTGCTTTCATCTCCCCGTGCTGCTGTGGGAGAAAACCCTGCCAGCTCCTGCGCCTAGCGCCGGGCAGGAGCACCAAACCATCCCCAGCTCCTGCCCGGGGAGCGTTTGGCACAACACCACTGTCAGCGGGTACACGCAGAGCTCTGCAAACCCACAGCCACAAACATGTCACCAGCTTCCCATCCTGGCAGTGGTTTTTCATATGAGCAAACAAAATTCTTTGGAAGAGTGGGAGCTGGCAGAGTGGGACCCAGCCGAGCCTGGGGGGGTGTTTCTGGCTGGTCTCAGCACCGCAGCCCCCACTCCCAGCCCCAATGCTGCAGCTCCTCAGTCCCCATTCCTGCCCCACTCAGGTACAGACATGAGCATGCTCCCGTTACCCCACTGCACCCCAGTGGGAACAGAGCCTAAATGCATGGGGTTGCCCGGTCTGAGCATGAAGGGGGCTGGGGAGCCCCTGGGTCCTTGGGTGCAGCCTGTCGGGGACCCGTCCCCATCCTTGCAGAAGCGTGCAGAGCAGCCTGAGGCACCCAGGGTGCCTTGGCTTCTCCTGCATGCTGGGTCTGGTGTGAGGCAGTGAGGATGTACAGGCTGCTCCATGGGTGCAAGAGTGCTCCTGGGACACCACAGGGATCGTCTGCCCTTCCTACATAGTAAGAAGAGAGCAAAGCCAAATGCTGTAGGGCAGGGAAACACAGCAGGAAAAAACTGCATCCAGCCTTAAGGCTTTGGACATGCAGTGACCTCTTCCTGCTGTGCATCATAGCCGCTGGAAGCAGGTCCCACCAGCCCATGCCCTCAGCCGTCCTGGTGCACGGCCGTAGAGGAGGGACCCAGCACCATACTGGTGTCACCCCAACTCGGAACTGCTGCACGGCCTTCCCCATGCTGCGGTCTTGCGGCTCTTCCTCCCGCCTGCCTGCACGCTGCCTCTGCCAGCTTTCAGCCAGGTTCACCGCGGAGCTGAGGGCCAGGAAGGGAAAGAGAGCCTGAGTCACTACTCGGGCTGGTTGGGCCAAGGCGGGTGCCCCAGCTGGGCTGCTCAGAGCCCTGCCAGCCCCATGCCATCCTGCCACCCAGCACAGGGATGTCTCGGCTGCTCCTCCAGTTGCCTGTGGAGCTGTCCGGGGTTTATCCTGCACCTGCGGGATGCAACACTAGAAGAGAAGATGGGTAGTGCAGATCTCACTGGTCTTGAGTACCAGCTTTGGCAGCTGGTCAGGGAGGATGCTCACCCAACTTGGGGCTCCCCAGAGTGCTGCATTGGGGTCCCCGAGCACCCCCAGCTGCTGCGCCTGCTCCTCCACCTCTCTCCAACATGGAGCAGAGGCTCCAGCATGCCTGGTTAGCAGTGCAGCCCAAAGGAAAGCAGGACCAGTTGTTTTCATGTTTTGCAAAATGTTTCAGATGGTAAGGGTTGATTTTATGATTAAAGCAGCCTTTTCCATTCGGCGAATCCTAACCAGATCCAATGTGCTCCATCCTTGCCTTTCCCAGGGACCAGATTTCATGTGGCAGAGCATCCCCAGAGCACTGGGGCCCTGTGCTGGATGGTTTTACCACACTGACTAAGCAAGAAGCTTCCCCTGGCCAGACGAGAGCCTGTGACACATACATCCCCCTGGGTCACTTGGGAGCCTGCATGCTGCCAACAGCCTCCAGCGAGGTCTTGCCTGTGCCATGTAGTGACCCACAGCACTGCTGCCTCTCTCTGCCCCATCCCCTGCCTGCTCCAGGCACCAGAGCTGCTCAGAGCATCCCACTGGGAAAAAGGCATCACAGGGCAAAGCTGTCCAGGCTTGAAACTATTTCCAGCACTTCCATCAAAGCCCTCATGCAGGGAAAATGCAGCTGTGTCACGGAAAATGTTGCCTAAAACCTGGGAAAGCCCTAGGTCCAAGTTGGAGTGAGGATGAATAATTTGCCTTTCATCACTTGGAAGCCCTACCATAAAAATCCAGGAGCCAAACGGAGTGGCACTGGCCCAAGTTTTGCAGCCAAAATGTGAGCAGCCCCGGCCTGTCTGCAGCCCGACCCTGGGACTTGGGAGCACTTGGGCAGCTGCAGGCTTATGTCGAGTGTTGGTCCAGCAGGATCTATCCTCATCCACAGCTGATGGGTGCCCCGGCATTCGTAGCTCCCACTGCACCTGCCTGCTCCTCCCCGGCCTGGGAAACAGGAGGGGGGAAGAAGCATTTTCTTGCCAAGCAGCAGCATCTGGCCACAGTCCTGGGGGTGAATCCATGCCCCGTGGCATGAATGAGATGACATGGCCTGGGCTGCAGTCACAGAGCAGGGGCCAGTCCTGGTGTGGGCGAGCAGCTGGGGGCTGTGGGTGCTGAACTCCCTGCCCCGTGCACTGGACCATGGCCGAGGGCAGAGCTGGTCCCTGCCACCACCAGAAGGAAAATGTGAAGGAAATCGGGGAACGACTGAGATTTTCCTTACGAACCTACTTTAGCTGCCCAGCCTGTACCACCGCCACTGCTGTCCCCACCAAGCGACGGCAGGACATTGTCATCACACCCTTCCCCTGTTTCTCTTCCACAAAACTTGACCCAAAGTGGGACATTTTGGGGACAACCTAGTTGAGGTCACACTGATGCTCATAATCCCAGTAGCCCCCACCAGAATCTGAATAGAAATGGAAACAACAGGGTGGCCGGAACCCCAGGGACCCCCTTGACAAGTCCCCAGGGGTCTTCACTTTGGGTCAGGTGCCACCTGCCCAGTTGTGCCCACTTGCCCAGGAATCACAGCTTCTATTTTATGTCTCCATTGCAGCAAAACACCAACCCCCCAAGGACATTGTGGTATCTTGGGTCTCTGACTGCACCATGCCGGAGGATGCTCCCTGTCGGAGGATGCTCCTCAATAAGGTCATGCCTGGCATGCCTGGTGCAGGGCTCCCACCCAGCCCAGCAGACAGGGGACCTTCCCCATGAGACACCCCCAGGGTCACAGGGGACCCAGCGAGAGGCTGCGTGGCACGATGGGGACATGGGGTGTTGCAGACATGGTGTAAAGGGTAGAGCAAGGGGGTCCCTGAAGAGTCTGTGTGGAGAAACAATGGTGCTGTGTGAGATCCCCCCAGGTCCACCATCCCCATCCTGAAGGGGGGAGGGGAAACCACTCACATGGCTGAATGCAAACCACAGCATTTCTATTTCCCATACTCTAAAACTGGCTGAACAGGCCTGGCTGGTGGCAAGGTACACACACAGCGAGTGCCCTCACCAGAGAAACCGCTGGAGAGGATGCCCCAGCCTTTTGGGAAGTGCAGCGCTCCCAGGCTGCCGGCACCATGGGAAAAGCAGCCCCACCATGTCCCTCATCCCCAGAGCCACACGTGGGGTTCCCAGCAAAGCCACAGCTGGCCGGGAGCGCCTGGCAGCCGCTGCTTCACACCGCTCTCTCCTATCAAGCAGATGGGGAAACTGAGGCATGGCAAGTGAGGCATGCGAGGGCTGGCAGCAGAGCCCAGGCTGGATCGGAGCAGCGAGAGGGGCACGTTTCCATCCTGGCATGCCTGCAGTGGGTGTCACTCACCACCAAAACGTGGCTCCCTGTGGGGAGGAGCATGGCGGGGGATCAATGCAGCTCGGGGCAGGGCATGGAGGAGCCTTCCTCCATGCCGAACCCGCCAGAGCCTTGCTGAGCGGGCGGCACTGACTCACTCCTCCCGCAGCCTGACCTAGTTTAAGAGGCACTGTGCAGGTGAGAAAGGCACCATCAGCAGTGCCAGCCAGGAGGCATTTTGCAGCCCAAGTTTTTGCCATGTCAGGCGGCGACAGCCTTAGGCTGTCACTTGAGCCACTCCTGGCGTGTCACCAAACCACCCTGGGCTGGGCAATCCCATGCAAGACCCAGTGCCTCGCAGGGCAGCGCAGGGCAGCCAGGGTAGAAGGCTGGGAGCTGTGCTCTGTATACGCAAGCTCAACCAGGCACGAAGCGGGCTCAGAAGAGCTCTGTGGGTCTGTGCCCAGTGGCAGGTTGGTGGCTGGGTCTCCCCAGCCCAAGCAGGACGGTCCGGCTCGTCCCAGGTGGGAGCGCAGGGAGGGGGCCGGGGTCGGAGCATCACTCCTGGCCATCGGCGCCCACCCACTTACCTGCACTGCCATCCCCCAGCGCCTGCCTGCTGCCCTCCACCAGCTGCCTCATCCTCTCCCTTGAGACCTTCAGGTACTTGTTGCAGTTGCACACCTGGAAGAAGAGAGAGTGGGAGGTTGGTGAGATGGCAGCCATGCTCCCCGGGTATCTCCTGCCTCCCTGGAGCACACAGCCACACACTGGGCACCCCCAGCAGAGGCTGGGCAGTCCCCTGTCGCATGCATCATGGCAGAGGGAAACTGAGGCAAGGCATGTCCCACTGAGAGGAGGGTGGCAGAATGGCAGCAGACACAAATTTGGGGGTTCACAAGCCACAAGAACCTCCTCTCCAGAGGCACTCCATCTTTACAGTTCTTAGCCACACCTTCATGCCAGGCTGCTGGTACTGCTGCCCACCCCCCCCAGCAGACCTCACCCCCCAGCCCTACACAATGCCAGAGAACACCAGAAACTGAGGTTGCCTTAAAACATCAAGCAAACACCCAAAGTTTGGGCTGTGGCTTCAAGATTTGTTCTCTCTTGTCTCACAGAAGCTATGGAGGATGGTCATGGACCCTGAGACACGCTGGGGTCTCAACCAGCTGTGCTTGGCCTGGCTCTGCCACAGCACCGTGAGCGCCGATTCTCATTTTCTAACCCCACCTTTCGTTTGCCTAAACGCACCCAGAGAGGTCTCCAAGTGCCTGCACACACCAGGTGCCAGCTCTTAGGGAACCAAACCCCTCAAGGAGCTCCCCAAACCCCACTGCCGAGGAGCACCCGCAGGCGGCTGCTTGCCCAGAAGCAATTGGCACTAAATCTCCCTGGGAGCATCGCAGCCAGCTCCCTGACAGCTTTGCTTTCCTCTCCCCCTTCCTGCTTGGACAGGAGCTGGGTTCTGGGATGTGCCGCAACACCTTTCATCAGCTATTTGTTTTTAGGGGCTGTTTTCTGCTTGCAGAGCATTTTGAGCACACTGCACCAAAGGCAAGCAGTGAGAGAGGTGCATAACTTCACCAACCAGAACAAGTTCCCTGCCTGGGGCTTTGCTCCAAAGCCTGTTGAAACCAGAAATGTTTTTCCACCTCCTGACCAGGCACTGGCGCGGGCCCGTGGCAGCTCTGCCGGTTTGTGGCGTGCTGGCTAGAGCAGCACTGGGGTCATGGCGAGGTGCAATATGCCCCTTCTTCCCACACAGCTGCCTGAAGGAGGATGGGGGAGGATGATTTGTTTGAAAATGAGCTTGCCACCATGTCCCGGCTCTGCTCTGCAGCAGGAGGAGGTTATTTCCACCAGCAGCCTCCACAAAACCGGTACACGCTCCCCAGCCCGGGCATGATTTGGCCGTAAAAGGATGCCCAGGCTTAGGTCCCTGAAGCCGTGCCTCTCCAGCCCCACAGAGCAGCAGCACAGACAGACAGAGATGGACAAGGCGCAATCTTGAAAGCACCCAAATGCCGTGGAAGCCGCTCCACCACTTTTAAAAGGGATTTTTGCAGCGATCCCTTGATCTTCACAGCAAGCATCAGACAACTGCTACTCGTGCAAACGTGAGTCAGACCCCTGCACGCTGCTCCAGCTCACCAGCCCGTCTCCTCCTCGCTCATGCTGGGGCGAGCCACAAGCACTGGTGCTGTGGGGGGCTGAGCATGCCTTCCCTGCCCTGCACAGGGCAAAGCACCCTCCTCGCTCTCATGTTCAAACCCAGGGAAATGAAACTGGGTGAAACCCCAGGGAAACAGAAAGATGATCTTATTTGAGTGAACCTGAATTTGTGCGGAGCCAGAGCAGCCGCTGGAGTTATCTGATCAGAAAGGAGATGCCACTTTGGAGTTCACTGCCAGCCTCACGCGAGGGAGGGTTACACTGCAACCTGTGGAGGCCACCCGATACCATCAGATCAGATCTGATCTCCTCAGGCTTCAGCTGTCTGGACTAAGGAGGACTGGAACTCACTGGCTCCTTTTCACACCTTAGCCTCCCCTTCTCTCAGCTCTCTACAGGCTCAGCTGTGCCTGCGGCAGCAGTGCATCATCAGCTGGGTCAGATCCATCCTGAAAGATGGCTGAGAAAAAGGGAAGAGAAGCACAGATGGATCCAGGGATGAGCAGGGAAGGAGACAGACAGGCTCTTTTTTTTAGGGCGGATGTCACCCTCAGCTGTGGGACAGACTGCGATACCGCTGCCCAGTGGAGCTGTGCTCCCACCCCTGCCAGCTCTGATGGTGGAGTCAGTGCTGATGCTGCAGGATGGGACAGTCCTTTTGAGGCTCAAGAACATCCCAGCCTGCACAGGCTGGACCTGGAGCCACTGATGTCACCACCCTGGCAGGCACCCAAAGCTCTCGTGTGGGTCACAGGGTGCCTGCTGGGATTTGTGGGATTGCAACAGGCAGGCAGAGGTGATGGGCAGCTCCCAGGGATGGGTGCCAAGCTCTGGCTGGGCTGGCCCCACTCCTCCGAGACAGTGACAACAGGGGAAGGGGCTGCATGCTGGAGAAGGGAGTTGAGCCTGGCTGTGGGAGAGACATGGGACGGCACCTCCTGGGCACACAGGCAGCACCAGCTGCACCAGGTGCACGGGGTGTCAGAGGCTCCCAGAGAGGTCCCAAACCACCTGGCCATTGAGCTGCCACCCAGGATGGGCACGGTGGGGGCCCAAGGGGCAAACAGCACCCTCCCTGCCAGGCATGGACATGCACCCTGTGTGGGCATGGGCTCATCTCCCCTCCATCACAAACACCTAATCCACCTTAACGCCCAGCCTTGGCAGTTTGGAGCACGCCATGGTGTTTGGGCAGCAGTGCCAGCATGCTGTGCATGGGCTCCTGGCTCCTGCTTGGGTGCACGGAGCGACCTCGGGCAAATTCCTCTGCTTCTCTAAAATTCATTACTGTTGTAAAGTAGGGGCAATCTACCTCCCTGGGCCAGATATGCCCCGGCAGCCCAGGGGCAGCCTGGCATTTCCCACTCGCCCAGGGCTGCCAGGCGCTTGCCATGAGGCTCTGTGCCCCACACCATCTCCCCAGCCTCCAGGGCTTAGCCACCCTCAGCTTCCCAAGAACACGGGGCAGGCTCAGGAGCCAGATAAGCCACTTAGCAGCAGTGCCAATTAGCTGTAATAAAAAATTGCAATTAATATTTTTTAATACCTTGCCAAAATGAGCCAGAAGAGATGAAGCAAGCAGGGCAGTCTGCCACCTCGATAAGGCTGCGCTGAGTGGCTGCTGTGCGGGGGCCAGTGGTAGCCTTGGGCTCAATGCTTGGCCTGGAGACACAGCTCCCTGCAGCCTTCTGCATCTCAGTGTCACTGCTTGGGGATGCAGCGCATTTTTTTGTGGGGGTCTTGCTTTTCTTTTAAGGGTAGGGATGTGGGGACCCTCTCTGCTGGGGGAGGGATGAGTTTTTCCTCCTTGGGAAGGTTTTGTTTCCCCAGATCCCTCATGGCAGGATTAGTCGTGGACCCCATGAAGTGGGGTGGATGTAAGGCCAAAAATCTTTGTGGCAGTGAGACAGCAGGACATGGCAGCATCCCGGAACACTGTCTGGGGGGTGCAACCACTGCGACCAGGGCATTACAACCCGACAGTGAAGGCTTCGGCTTCTCCCCCACAACATCTTGGGGTCGCCCCCAGCCCCTGTGCCCAGCTCAGGGTGGGGGTGGCAGCTTCTGCCCCAGTCCCCAGCCCTGCCCTGGGGACAATGTGCCGAGCGGGCTGAGCCACAGGTTCTCTGCTCATGCTGTCCTGCCCGTCCACGTGGCCGGTGTAAGTGCTGGGCCATGGGGGAGAAAAGGGGTGAGTTCAGCTTGGGAGAAGCGGGCCAGGTAGTTGCAGCCCTCACAGACCTCATAGCACTGCCCGGGCCGCTGACACTCGTGCTCCTGTCGCATGCTGGGGTGCCCCGGTGCCCCTGAGGGCTGCGGGTCGCAAGGCGGCAGCGGGCACACCTCGGAGGAGGAGCAGCGCTGCCTTTCTCACGCTAGGGCAGCCCTTGCCAGCACACGCTTAGTCACTGGTAAATCCCAGCCTAGATCTGCTCTGCCCTCTGTGAAATGGATCTTGGCTGCACCCCCGCTGAAGCAATCCTGGCGCTCGGGAGCCATGGCGGGCGCGCTTTCCCACGGCAGCCCGGCTTCCAGCACCCCGTGTGAATCAGCTCCTTCCCGGGCAGGTGCTGGGTGCCCCCGCACAGCACACGTGCAGCCGGCCAGGCAAAGCCAGGCGAGTGCATCCCCGCTCCGATCCCCCCGTTGTGCTGGCTGCCCGCTCAGCAGGAGGGCCGGCGGGGACGGCGCCAAATTCAGGCTCTCTGGGCAGGTGGGGATGGCTGTGACATGTTCCCCTGCCTCTCCAGGCCCTGGTCACCATGTCCATGTCAAGGATGAGGAGCAGGTGCAACCCATCTTAGGTGAAGCTCTGATCCTCACCGCAGTGCCTCACTGTTGTCCCCTCTCCCTGCACCAATCTGGGCATCCTGACTGAGGTGCCGCACCCCGATGTTGGGCACCGTCACACCTGCACCTGTATGCTCCTGCCCTGGGACCTCGTGCCAGCATCCACCGCACCCAGAGGAACACTCTGCAGCCCAGCCTGCTCTGTGATGTCACCACCAAGAGCTGTGACACAGGGATTAGAAGGAGTGATGTCATTGAACCAGGACTGTGATGTCATGTCTCACTGTGATGTCACAGCAGGAGAGCTGGCAGGGATCTCTGTGCTGCTGTGGTCCCCGAGCCTGACGAGGTGGTTTGTCCCCAGCTCCAGCAGCCGGAGCCACCCTGGCCGAGCAGGCAGCTGCCGCGCAGTGAGGGTCTCCCTGCCTGTGCAGCCGAGGAGGACAAGGCAGGTGAAATGTCCTTTTGCAATACTGGCAGCCCATCCGGTGGCTTGTTTTTGTTTAGGATGATCCCTGCCTCTCCCAGCCCTACTGGGTGGGGATTTCACCAGCAGTGACGCACGAACCTCCCGGGACTCGAGGGACTGGATGCTTCAGCCTGAAGCTCCAGGGCCATCTCAGCATCCCATCCCCTTTCTGGGCCTCCACCCAGGAAGTTGAGAAGCTCGAAGAAAACTGTCCAGCAGACAACAGCATCCAAACTTTCTGGACTCAAAA